GGGCCAGCTCTACCAAAGGACAAAATTCTGTCTGTCCAAGGGTCATTGGTCCCCACCTGCCTTGCCATTGTGAGCAATGTCCACCCAGAATCTTCCTGGTGGAAGAACACTGATTACAAAGCAAACTGCCCAGTGGGTTTGGTCAAGACTCAAGAGACCTGGATTCTGGTTCTGGGTCTGCCATTAACCAGCTGCAATATGTTGGAAAAACCATTCCACCTTGTGAGCCTCAGTCTCCTCAATCTGTGAAATGCAGAGAATCATCATAATAATGAATCATGGCCAGGCGCGGTGGCTCATGCCTATAATTCCAGCACTTTGGGAGGCCGAGGCAGGTGGATCAAGAGGTCAAGAGATCGATACCATCCTGGTCAACAAGGTGAAACCCCGTCTCTACTAAAAATACAAAAGTTAGCTGGGCATGGTGGTGTGCGCCTGTAGTCCCAGCTACTCTGGAGGCTGAGGCAGGAGAATTGCTTGAGCCCAGAAGGTGGAGGTTGCGGTGAGCCGAGATCGTGCCATTGCACTCCAGTCTGGGTAACAACATCGAACTCCATCTCAAAAAAAAAAAAAAGAATGAATCATATCTGCTCTTCCCACCTCACAGAGTTTTTGTGAGGATAAGGTGACGTAGTGTACATAGAAGCACTTTTTTTTGAGACAGAGTCTCAGTTTGTCGCCCAGGCTGGAGTACAATCTCAATCTCAGCTCACTGCAGCCTCCATCTCCTGGGTTGAAGCAATTCTCCTGCCTCAGCCTCCTGAATAGCTGGGATTACAGGCATGCATCACCACACCCGACTAATTTTTTTTTGTCTTTTTAGTAGAGACGGGGTTTCATCATATTGGCCAGGCTGGCACAGAACTCCTGACCTCAAGCGATCTGCCTGCCTCGCCTCCCAAAGTGCTAGGATTACAGGTGTGAGCCACCATGCCTGGCCTGCCACAGTTTTTAAAAACTGAAAAAAGTATAAATGATGGCTCAAATCTGAGTGTATTGTGATTATTATTTCCACAATTAATAAAAAAAAATAAGTGTCCAGAATTTCAGAGTTCTTCCTCTTTTTTAGGGCAGAGAAAGAAGTGACTAGAAAAACAAAGCAAAAGGCAATCCCACCCTGAACGTGTGCAGCACTCCAGAGACAGGCACTTTGGGTTCAGCTCAGGGAAGTGTGACCAGAGGGAAAACTCGGAGTGGTGAGGCCAGGGAAGCACACTGACCTGGGAATTTCAAAATCCATCTGCATGGGCTCACCCTTTAATTTGGTGGCTATGTGATCCCTTGGGGGAGATTTAATCCACAGCTTCCTGCACCCACACTGTTTCCCAGCCAGACTGGAACACAGGTTCCTGCCTGAGGGTAAAGGGGTAGGTTCCTGAACCAAAAGGGGCGCACACCTGGCTTAGCTCCTGAGTGACCCTAAGGCTGGAGGCACTCTTGGATGAAGCTGTTTTGGTGACAATAATGATGCGATATTCTGATGATGATGAAGTGATGTAACAAGAGCAATTTACCCACAGGACACTCAGATGCACAGAGAAGATATTCTCTCTTTTTCTCTGTTACTGATTCAATCTCTCCCATGAGCCCCACTTCGGGTGGCAAAGATGGGAAGGGAAGGGGACAACTTGCCAAGTAGGTGCCTTGGTCTACTCTCATTTGAACTCTATATCTAACAGGTAAACACGCAGTTGCCACTTGAATAGGTACATTTCTCCCCTACCCCCTTGTCCCATGCCACCTTGGAACCTACCACTTCCCTGCCCCTGTCCCTTCTCCCCCTACAATGCACCAGGACCTGAGGAGCAGACCCTTTGTCTCTGCCTAAGACACTCTGTCTCTTCCTAAAATTCCTTGACCAGAAGCAGCAACTGGGGCACTGGTTTAAAATATTCATTCCCTGCTGGGCATGGTGGCTCATGCTTGTAATCCCAGCACTTTGGGAGACCAAGGCGGGGGGATCATTTGAGGTCAGGAGTTCCAGATCAGCCTGACCAACATAGCAAAACCCCATCTCTACTAAAAATACAAAAAATGTAGCGGGGTGTGGTGGCACGTGCCTGTAGAGCCAGCTAGCTACTCAGGACTAAGGCAGGAGAATTGCTTGAACCCAGGAAACAAAGGTTGCAGAGAGCCTAGAGACAGAGCAAAACTCTGTCTCTGAAAATATAAATAAATAAATAAATAAAATAAAGCATTAATTCCCTGTGCCTACCCTGGAGAATCTGAGTAAGTAGATTTGAGGAGGGACCCAGGAATCCATGTTTTTTAGTTCTCTCCCAGAAAATTAGAGGCACACTGCTCTGTGAGATACTGAGTTCTTTCTAGCAAGGCTTACAGTAACCTCCGACTTGTTAAGGGAACAGGAACTTCAAACACTGTAAGACAATTCCCTTTGCCTCAAAGCTTTGCTTTCTGGAGTGTTGTTTACAAGGAGCTGCCACCCCACCCCACTACCAGATAAAGGAAACTTGTTAGTTGAGGGAAAGCAAGGACTTTGTCTTTCAAACTGGTATCTGTTCCTCTTTTAACGCAGGGAAGCTGTTGATTCTGGGCTGGGGAGCCGGAGGGCCAATGTGACTAAAGGAGTTACGCTTTCAAGAATGTATTTTAAAATCTCCATTCACTAACAATAATATCTAACATTCATTGAGAGCTTACTACGTGCCAAGTGTTGTGTTGCATGCGCTCATGGATTCTCTCCTTTAATCCTCACAGCCTTGTACTGCTATTACCCCCAGTTCACAGATAAGGAAACTGAGGCATATACAGGTTAAACAGCTTGCCTGTGGTCACTGTCCCTCATGGAAAAGCCAGGATTTGAACTGAGTGCATGTAACTCTAAAAGTTCTCTGAATCGCTAAGATTTCCTTCCTACTTGAGTTTAAAGCCTCTTGGGAATCACCTGGCTTGGCTTTCCTATTTTATAGCTGCGGAGATACAGGCTTGTACCCAGTAGGAAAATGACTTGCCCAGCGACACACAGCTAGACAGCAACAAGGCTGGAAATGGAACCCGGGCCTGGACTCCCGATCTAGTGCTCCTCCCCTCAGCCTTGGTGCTTCCATTCTGGCATTTGATGTGCCATCCTGGACATTCAGGAACTGCCACTGTTCTGAGCTGCTGAACTCCCTGAGGACTGTCGAGGTCTCCAGGGGACTGAGGTCTGCCCTGTGGGTTTCACAATTTCACTGAGTTCTTTTTTTTTTCTGAGACAGAGTTTTGCTCTGTCACTAGGTGCCAGGCTAGAGTGCAGTGGTGTGATCTTGGCTCATTGCAACCTCCACCTCCCGGGTTCAAGCAATTCTCCTGTCTTAGCCTCCCAAGTAACTGGGACTACAGGCACACACCACCATGCCCAGCTAATTTTTGTATTTTAGTAGAGACAGTGTTTCACTATGTTGGCCAGGATGGTCTCCATCTCTTGATGTTGTGATCAGCCCACCTTGGCCTCCCAAAGTGCTGGGATTATAGGTGTGAGTCACTGCACCAGGCTTCACTGAGTTCTTAAAATAAGTGGGGCCCATCGAGGACATTGCTTTAATGTCATTGCACCACAAACTTCTACTCCTTGATATCTAATGTGCACATTTCTTGGTTATGACTGTAAACTATTTGCAGTCTATATATTGCAGATTTTTTTTCTTTTTTTTGTATACAGAGTCTCACTCTCTCACCCAGGCTAGAGTGCAGTGGCGCCATCTCGGCTCTTTGCAACCTCTGTCTCCTGTGTTCAAGCAATTCTTATACCTTAGCCTCCCAAGTAGCCACCACACCCAGCTAATTTTTGTATTTTTAGTAGAGACGGGGTTTCGCCATGTTGGCCAGGCTGGCATTGAACTCCAGACCTCAAATGATCCGCCTGCCTTGGCCTTCCAAAGTGCTGGGATTACAGGCATGAGCCACTGTGCCCAGCCCCTGCAGATTTTTAGGAATTGAAAATTAAGGCTAAGACCAGGCATGGTGACTCATACTTGTAGTCCCAGTCCAGGTGGGAGGATCACTTGAGCCCCAAAACTCGAGACCAGCCTGGGCAATATGGTGAGACTTTCATCACTACCAAAAAAATTAAAAAGAAAAAATAAAATTACAGACTGGTAGCCCCTTCAGGACCTCTCTAGACCTAGGCATGCTTCTTTCACCTTTGCAAGGTGCAAAGCCCAGAGGCAAGAAACCCCTTTGAGGATGTAAGTGGGATGAGAAGCCTTTTGACCTTCAGTCTCAGGATCTTTGTCCCACCCCATTTCACAACCTGAAAGGTGGAGCTGTGACTCCCCAGTAGAAGAAGAAAGGGAGTTCACCAATGTTTGGCGAGCAGCTGTGATAAACTTGAGCCTGTGTTAAACCTTTGGACAGAGTTATTGCACTTAATTCTCACCCTGGCCGTGCAAGGCTGGTACGATTTTTTTTTTTTTTGAGATGGTGTCTCACTCTGTCACCAGGTTGGTGTGCAATGGCATGATCTCTGCTCACTTAACCTCCAGCTCCTGGGTTCAAGCAATTTTCCTGTTTCCCTAGTAGCTGGGACTACAGGCGCTTGCCACTAGGCCTGGCTAATTTTTGTATTTTTAGTAGAGACAGGGTTGCACCATGTTGGCCAGGCTGGTCTTGAGCTCTAGACCTCAGGTGATCTACCTGCCTTGGCCTCCCAAAGTGCTGGGATTACAGGCATGAGCCACACTCCCGGCCAGTTGGTACGATTGTCTTCATTTTACAGAAGAAGAAATCAAGGCCCATAGAACCTTGCCTCAGGTCTTACAGCTTTTAAATGAGGTGACCTCTTACTTGAATTTAGAGCCTGTTGGACTCCAATGACTCTGTATCTAGGACACTGCGAAGCCTTAAAGAGTGAAAGGTTACCTGCAAGTCTTAGTAAAGTTCCCTCTAAATCAACTGCAAGGGTTCCTTGGGGGACTTTTTGCAAGTCTTAGTAAATTTCTCTCTAAATCAATTGCAGGGGTTGCTTGGGGGACTTTTTGCCTTTAGACTCATTTCATTACCTACTGGTTCCACTATCTGCTGCCAGACATGGTTCCTCTTCATCCGCCCTTGCTCCAGATCCTCCTCTGGGTTGGCAGGTCCCAATTATGTCCTGCTATTATCTGGAGGTCACACTTGTGCCCATCTCAGCTTTCATCTTCTAGCCTGGGGGAGTAAACAGCCTTAATGGGGAGGTGTTCTGAAAATATCAATCACTACATGTCCTACTCAAATCCCTTCTAAGGGACTTCTCACTTCCAAACCTGCCTTCCAGGGCTCCAGCTGATTGCTCTGTGATGGACACCTGACCAAGGTCAGTTCAGTTGTAATTAGTCCAGCTACTTGTGCTTTTTGGGACCTTGCTTAGCAAAGAGGAGCTGTATTAATCAGATATCTTTTTGGGAATCTTGGAACTGGGCACTGATCAGTAGTGGCACTTGTATCATAGGTTGTGATGTAGGCAGGGAACTAGAAAGTAGAAAAGGGCCTAATGAGCCAGTGAATTGAGGAATTAAAAAACCAAGCCTATGAATGAGAAAAGAATAGAGTATATGTGCAGAGGGTAACAGAAAAGTTACGAATATGTGTATGTGGGTGTATACATATGTGTGTGTATGTACGTGTGTATACGTGTGTGTGTGTATATGTATGTGTGTGTATATATACATATATGTATATATATATATATATGAAACAATTGCCATGAGGCCATGCTGTGCAGAAGTTGCTGTTCTTGGATTTCCATGAGCCCCTCTGAATCCTTTCATTAAGCCTAAAACCCTGTTTTCCTGAGATAAAATGGATGGGTTTCTTTTTTTTCCTTTTTTGAGATGGAGTCTCTCTCTGTCACCCAGGCTGGAGTGCAGTGGCATAATATCAGCTCACTGCAGTCTCTGCCTCCTAGGTTCAAGTGATTCTCCTGCCTCAGCCTCTCAAGTAGCTGGGATTGCTGGTGTGCACCACTGCACCAGGCTATTTTTTGTATTTTAAAATATTTTTTTCTTTGAAACCAAAGAGGTTTAGTCTAGAGTATGAGGAAACTTGAAATAATTTACAGGGCTTGAACTTCTTTACAATTGGCAAAGGAACCTCTGAATTAAGAGTTCCCGAAGGACTCCAACCAACATGTCACATAGAGCAGTTTCTTTTTGGTTTTTTTTTAACAGAGTTTTGCTCTGTCACCCAGGCTGGAGTGTAATCATGCAGTCTCGGCTCACTGCAACCTCCGCCTCTCAGGTTCAAGTAATTCTCCTGTCCTAGCCTTCCAAGTAACTGGGACTATAGGTGCCTGCCACCACATCCGGCTAATTTTTGTATTTTTAGTAGAGATGGGGTTTCACTATGTTGGCCAGGCTGGTCTCGAACGCCTGACCTCAAGTGATCCTCCCACCTCAGCCTTTCAAAGTGTTGGGATTACAGGTGTGAGCCACTGCCCCCAGCTCTGGTGCAGCTTTTAAGCACAGTAAAAAGTGGTGTCATATAGTTATCTATTGCTGTGAATGATACCACCCTAAAACTTGGAGGCTTAGATAACAACCATCACTTCTTTTGCTCATAAATCTATACTTGGGGCAAGGCTTGGTAGAGACAGTTTGTTTCTGCTCCACTTGGCATCAGCAGGGAAACTCAAAGGCTGGGGTGGAATCACGGAAAGCTCAATCACTCACACACTTGCTCCCATTTGAGGATTGGTGCTTGCTGAAAGGGGCCTCGTCTGGGGCTGTCCGCCAGACACCTACACACGGTCTCTCCATGTGGTTTCTCCCCTTCCTTGTGGCATGGTAATTGGGTTCCAAAAACAAGCATTCCTAGAGGACTGGGTGGAAACTATATCACCTTTTATGAACCAGCCTTGGAAGACACCTGACCCTTAAGGAAAGAGCGTAAATAATTGGTGGAGTGTTAACATTACGTTGCATGTTGGATGGGAGATATTGTAGTGCTTGTTTTTGGGAAATATAATCTGCCACATATAGCTAATGAGCTGCAAATCTTAGGAGGATGGAGACACTGGGAAAAGGCCCTGGCCCACATACAGACAACTGCATGTAAAATGTAGCAGTAGATTAAGAGGCTGATAAAGCTGTTGCTGCAGTGGGGAGACAGGACTCTAAGAAAAGGTGTGTAGGCCAAGCATGGTGGCTCATGCCTGTAATCCCAGAGCTTTGGGAGGCTAAGGCAGGCAGATCACCTGAGTTCGAGAGTTCAAGATCAGTCTGACCAACACTATCACTACTAAAAATACAAAAATTAGCCAGGCGTGGTGGTGCACATCTGTAATCCCAGCTACTTGGGAGGCTGAGGCAAGAGAATCACTTGAATCCGGGAGGTGGAGGTTGCTGTGAGCTGCTATCACAGCCCTGCGCTCCAGCCTCGGCAACAGAGCGACTGTGTCTCAAAAACAAAAAAAGATACTATTCCATCAACTTCCAGCCTCTACTGACACTGAAAATAAGTCTGTTGTTACTCTATTTGAGTTCCTTTGTAAGCCATTGTCTTAGTTCCCCAGAGGCATGTAAGATGTTTTTTTTCTCTTTTGTCCCTGGATTTGCTCTTACATGTGTGTCTGCCTGTGGAATTAGAAAAACGATTCTGCTCAGGGCTCAATATGATTCTTCATTCTGATGATACATGTTCTATAGTAAAGAATTTGTCCGGTTTTCCTGAAAAGGAGTTTCTAAACCCTTGGAATTTCCCAAGTAACAGAAATGTCTTTGTTAATAATGGTGGGGCCCTCAGACCACACCAGGATTTATGCTAATGAGGGTAAGGGCTGGTCACACCAGAATGACCAATGATGGAATTACAGGGGTTGGAGGTTTGAGTCATGTGGTATCAGCCCAACCTCCTTCAGGGAAAGGAGGCAGGGTTGAGATTGAGTTCAATCTCATGGCCAATGATTTAATAAATTATGCATATGTAATGAAACCTCAAAACTCTGGACACTCAAAACTCGGGTGAATCTCCTGGTTGGTGAACCCATCAATGTGCTAGAAAAGCAGCAAGTCAGCTGGGCGCAGTGGTTCATGTCTGTAATCCCAGCACTTTGGGAGGCCGAGGTGGGTGGATCACCCAAGGTTAGGTGTTTGAGACCAGCCTCGCCAACATGGTGAAACCCCGACTCTACTAAAAAAATACAAAAATTAGCCAGGTGTGATGGTGTACGCCTGTAGTCCCAGCTACTTGGGAGGTGGAGGCAGGAGAATTGTTAGAACCCAGGAGGCTGAGGTTGCAGTGAGGTGAGAGTGTGCCACTGGACTCCAGTCTCCACCACAGAGTGAGACTCCACCTCACAAAAAAGAAAAAAGCAACACGTTCTGATTTCACAGGGAGGGGGCATGAAAGCTCCATGTTTGGGGTGCTCCCAGACCTCACCCTAAGTTTCTTCTCATTTAGCTGGCCCTGATTTGTATCCTTATAATAAAACTGCAATTGTAAATATAGCACATTTGTGAATTGTCTCAGCAAATTATGAAAGGTGAGGGGGTCATGGGAACCCTTGAATTGGTAGCCTATTCATGAGAAGTGTGATTGGCCTGAAGACCCCTGAACTTGCAGCCTGCATATTTGTAGAGCAGTCTTATTGGGGACTGTGCCCTTAACTGGTGGAGTCTGCATTAACTCCAGGTGGTGTTGTACCACAGTAGGGCTTGCATCTTTCTTCACTTTGGAAAGATTTGTGTTAGACACATCTGCTTAGTAAGTTCTATACTGGGGGTTACTGAAAAACTTGTTATGAGTTTTCGTTGCCTGTTGTTCCAATGGGAGCAAACTCTGGTCCCTCTGCCTAGCTTCAAAGACATGCCGGCCGGGCGCAGTGGCACACACCTGTGATCCTAGCACTTTGGGAGGCCAAGGCGGGTGGATCACCAAGTCAGGAGTTTGAGACCAGCCTGGCCAACATGGTGAAACCCTGTCTCTACTAAAAATACAAACATGAGCCAGGCATGGTGTTGGGTGCTGTAGTCCGAGCTACTCGGGAGACTGAGGCAGGAGAATTGCTTGAACCCAGGAGGCAGAGGTTGCAGTGAGCTGAGGTTATGCCCTTGCACTCCAGCCTGGGACACGGTGGGACTCCGGCTCAAAAAACAAAACAAAACAAAAACACATGCCATTAACTATGGGAGAAATAATGTTGCACCTTTAATGCTATAACAAGACAGTAAAAAAAGAGGCATTATTGGTGCTCTGCCCAGGTCTTCTCAGAGCTCTCAAGTTCCATTCTTTTTTTTAAAATTATTTTTTTATTTTTAGAAAGAAAGAAAGAAAAAGGAATAAAAAAGAGGAAAAAAGAGGAAGAGGAGGAGGGAGAGAGAATGGGAGTGTTTCTTAATTGCCCAGGCTAGAATGCAGTCTAAAAATGGGTATTGAAAACCTCCCTTATACCATCAATTGTGCTTAATAATGGCCAACCAATATTTCATTTAAACCCATGAGTAGGTGTGATGTGGTACTGATAAGAGTGCATATCTTGTGTGTTTAAAGTGGAGAGTTCTATAATGTTTATTAAGTTTACTTGTTCCGGAGTTCAAGTCTTGGATATCCTTGTTAATTTTCTGTCTCATTGATCTATCTAATACTGATGTTGAAATCTCCCACTACTACTGCGTGGGAATCCAAGTCTCTTTACAAGTCTTATGTATCCTGTACTGGGTGCATGCACATCCAGGATCGTCAGCTCTTCTTGTTGCGTTGATCCTTTTACCATTATGGCCTCTTTTGATCTTTGTTGCTTTCAAATCCATTCCATCAGAGGCGAGAATTGCAACCTCTGCTTTTATTTATTTTTGCTCTCCATTTGGTTGACAAATCTTTCTCCATCCCTTTGTTTTGACTCTGTGTATCCTTGCAAGTAAGATGGGTCAGGATGCAGCATACCGATGAGTTTTGGCTGTATCTTTTGATTGGGGGATTTAGTCAATTTAAATTTAAGATTATTGCCATTTGATGTTAACCGGCTATTTTGCCCATTAGTTGATACAAATTCTTCATTATGTTGATACTCTTTACTTTTTGGTATATTTTTAGAAAGGCTAATACTTGTTGTTCCTTTCTATGTGTAATGCTTCTTTCAGAAGCTCTTGTAAGGCAGGCCTGGTGGTATCAAGTTCCATTCTCTCTCCCATTTTTTTGTGTGATTTTGTTTCTAAGAGTCATGTACCTGTGACTCTCTTTGGAGGATTACTCCAGGGCCACTGGAGCTGCTTCACCCAGGTTCAGAAACTGGTTGCTTATGTCCCCTTGGAACAGGACTTAGCCCATCTTAAGTACTTAACCAATTTGACAGCTGTGGAAACATGAAAGCCCAGCTTCCTTGCCTTGAGATAAACTCTGAGGTATAATTTAAACTCCAGGCAGGCTGAGCCCAGGACTTTGCCTGAAATTATAGCCTTCCTTGGCTTCATCGTCTTCTCTGTCCTGCTCTCCAAACTCCTTTTATGGATTCTCCTAGGAACACTTCCTTAATAAATCACTTGCCCACAGTCCTTGACTCAGGGTCTACTTCTGGGGAACCTATCCTGAAACAGTTCCCAATTATTCACTACTGAACAGGTTGCCATGTGACTTGCAGTGTCTGGGAGGAGGAGGAATCTATTTCTCAGCCCCCACTGAGTCAAGCTTAGCCATGTGATGTGCTTGGAACAATGGAATGTGACAAAAAAAAAAAAAAACAACCATATGCTATACCTTACTTGACTCCTAAGATTCATCACATGCTACTGGGATTGCTCTTTTCTCTGGGAAATACTATGATAGGGGCTGTTCCTTCATTGTGGGTCTCAGAACAAGACATGTCAAGCAGAACCACAACTGACAAACAGTTAACGTGTAATATAAACAAGGAAAAACCTTTCTTATTCTAAGACACAGATTTTGGGTTTGCTTCTGCAGCCTAACCTAAAAGAGATAATACAGGAAGCATAGCTTAGCAGTCTTAGCAGTTAAGAGCCTGCACCCTGGAGTTACACAGCTTGGGATCAAAGCCAAGCTCTACTACTTACTAGCTGTATCATCTTGGCCAAGTTACCCGAGCCTCAGTTTCTCCATTTGTAAAATGGGGATATTCATGATATCCACCTCATAAGGTTATTGTGGTAAATGAGTTAACATATATAAAGTGCTTCAAATAGTGCCTGGTGTGTGTTTAATAAATATTAACCAAAGTGCTACAGTTATGAACTGATGTGGTTCATCCCCAAATTTCCAATATTTTCTCCTACAACCACTGAACTTGTTGATTGCCTCCTGTCACGGGTTGAATATTTGTGTCCTCCCAAACCCTCATATGTTGAAATCCTAAACCCTAATGTGATAGTGTAAGGAGATGGGAAGTTTGGGCCTTTGGGAGGTGACAAGGTCACGAGGAAAGAGCCCTCATGAATGGGATTAATGTTCTTAAAAAAGGGATCCCAGGGAACTCTTTGACTCTCTCTTTCTTTCATATGAGGATACAACAAGATCGCAACCTGGAAGAGGGCCCTCACCAGAACCTGACCATGCTGGCACCTTGATCTTGGGCTTGCAGTCCCCAGAACTGTGAGAAATGCATTTCTGTTGCTTGTACATCATTTAATCTGTGGTACTTTGTTATAGCAGCCTAAATTAAGACACCTCCAGAACCCATTCCAGTCTTCCCACAACCCTCAGTTTGCATTTGGGGGATTTATGTGGTTCTGAGGAAACTGACTTCACTGAGACTTAATGTGACCTCACATGAGAGAAACAACCAGTAGTGTGCTGGTAAACCAGCTCCCAGGAGGGTGAGGAGGGAAGTCCAAGTTTCCATGCTGTAAATACTCCCTCATGGACAATGTCAGGCTACCAATGGTTTAATAACTGGCTGGGCAAAGTTCCCGAATGTTTCACAATTGCCTGGTGAGCCAATGCTAGCAGGCTCCAGCACACCACATGTCACCCCTCTAGCGAGCTGCTCTAATCAGTGTGACTCTCAGGTCTTTTGCAACTCTCATTAAACACAAACAATTCCCCTGCAAGTTTCATCTGCGTGCAGATGCGTTTGTGCCGCGCTTTGTGCGTGCTCCATATATGGCCAGCAAGATGGGTGTGCACTGGTGCAGAGAGATGAGTGTCATTTGTGTGTTGTGTGTGAAGGTAAGTGCTAGTGGAGTTGAGTGCTAGTGTATCTAAAAAGAGCTTTCAAAATATAATAGGTTGGACATGTGAAATTTCAAGTATTTGATCAGTCTTGAGCTACATAAAGGGCAATTTCATATGATTCAACTTAATAGATCAAATACACATGAAAACGTGGCAGAAGGAGGAAGGATGGAAGGAAGAAGGTGGAGGTGGAGGAGGAAGTAGATCTTACCAGAAGCAAATCTGAAGTATGAGCATTTGGAGTTTTTTTTTTTTTTTTTGAGACAGAATTTCGCTCTGTCGCCCAGGCTGGAGTGCAGTGGCACGATCGGCTTACTGCAACCTCTGCCTCCTGGGTTCAAGTGATTGTCCTGTCTCAGCCTCCTGAGTAGCTGGGACTACAGGTGCGTGGACTATGCTTGGCTAATTTTTTGTATTTTTAGTAGAGATGGGCTTTCACCGTGATAGCCAGGATGGTCTCAATCTCCTGACCTCGTGATAAGCCCGCCTCAGCCTCCTAAAGTGCTGGGATTACAGGCGTGAGCCACCGTGCCCCGCGCATTTGGAGTTTTAAAAGCGATGTTAGGCCGGGCGCGGTGGCTCAAGCCTGTAATCCCAGCACTTTGGGAGGCCGAGGCGGGTGGATTACAAGGTCAAGAGATCGAGACCATCCTGGTCAACATGGTAAAACCCCGTCTCTACTAAAAAAATATACAAAAAATTAGCTGGGCATGGTGGCGCGTGCCTGTAATCCCAGCTACTCAGGAGGCTGAGGCAGGAGAATTCCTGAACCCAGGAGGCGGAGGTTGCCGTGAGCCGAGATCGCGCCATTGCACTCCAGCCTGGGTAACAAGAGCGAAACTCCGTCTCAAAAATTAAATAAATAAATAAATAAAAGCGATGTTAATTCCTTACTCCAAAAAAGCATTAATTATGGACAGTTCTCTACTTTACTGTCCTAATTCAACTACATACCCTCTTGGAAGTATCATAGTACCATAGAAGCTCACCTAATACCCTCATTCTTCCAGCCTTGGTGAGACATTCAGAAAGGTCTCTGGGGAAAGATTTCGGCGAGCACCTTTTGACAGGTTTTGGGGGGAACCGCGGGGTCCCGCTATCCAGAGAGCTCGGTTTTCCAGCGGTATATTCGCTGGCAGCCAGCGGGGCGTTCGAGACCCGGATGGGGCGGGCCCTCTCACCTCCGGGACCCCCGGGGAACTCAGCGGTGCGGGGGGCGGGGCAGGGAAGGAGATAACGACTCCCCTCTAGGAGGGCCAGGAGGATGAAAAGAGGAAATACATGGACAGGTGCCATTATTTTTTTTCTTACCGTTTATTTACTCAGGTCTTCATTTTTATTCCCAATAGTTCCCTGGTTGGTTAGGAGTCACTATTAAATAGGAAGAGGTAAACAGCTGCCGGCGCTCAGGAGACGACCAGCGACTGTAGCGTTGCTGCGGCGGGGTCCCGGGGCCCCCAACTGCCAGGCACATGCAGCCTCTGGCCTCCCTCGCGGTGGGCGTGGCCGCTTCCCAGAATGCCCGGTCTCCCGCGGCTCAGCCGCCCCGGAGCTGCTGGACTCGCACCAGGTCACAACGCCTGGGCCCCGCCGCGCCTCGGCCTTCCGCGCCTCACTGCGCAACCCACATGTACGCAGCGTGCACACACGGACACCCCATGCCAGGCACAGACACACTGGCACTCACCTCCACACACAGCACGCAAATGACACCTATCTCTGTGCGCCCAACAAAGGCCACGCACCACTGCACCCCTGGACATCCTGCTGGTCTCACACACAGAATGCAGAAAGCGCCTCACAAACGCATCTGTACACAAATGACACCCACATCTCAGTCTCCATCGCAAACACAACTCACAATGTAGACAACACTCAACTCTGCTCACCCTTGACACACAAAATACAGCACACACCACACACACATTGGTGCTTATACATGCACACACTACAAACGCCTGAATTTAGGCGAGAGACTACATGAGTCGCTAGCACCCACATACCGAGTTTCACACCACACACATACACACACCACGGGCATTATTCCTTCCTCATACGAATGACATGTACATTCCACACTACGCCAAATACAAAGCATACATTTACACCACTGCTGAAAAAACACATTCATCTCACACAAACGGCATGCATACGAAGGTTACCCATATACACTAACACACTATGTACAAGCCTTACACATATTCATGCATCTTACAAACAACAGGGACACATACATAGCAACGTAAACCCAAAACACAAATCCAAACGTGCTACCAGATCCACACTAAACCCTCTACACCAAACATGAGTAATCACATGCATAACTGCACTTCAGCACACATGGCTTATGTGCACCATGCCAAACAATCACACCATCTGACCTACACATCCCCAGGTACACCTAGAATGACGAACCATCCCTGTGTGCCCAGGACTGGCTCAGTTTTAGCACTGAGAGTCCTGTGTCCTGGGAAGCCCCTCAGTTCTGTGCAATCCCCAACAGTTAATCACCCTATACATTGTTTAGATGAATTCTTCCTGGGACCACAATAAACACCAATGATAAAACCTGAGCTCCTGCTGGGCGCAGTGGCTCATGCCTGTAATCCCACCACTTTGGGAGGCTGAGACGGGTGAATCACTTGAGGTCAGGAGTTTGAGACCAGACTGGCCAACATGGGAAAACCCTATCTCTACTAAAACTACAAAAATTAGCTGGGTGTGATGGCGCATGCCTGTAATCCCAGCTACTCAGGAGGCTGAGGCAGGAGAATCGCTTGAACCTGGGAGGGGGAGGTCGCAGTGAGCCGAGATCAGCCACTACACTCCAGGCTAGGTCACAGAATAGGACTCTGTCTCAAAAAACACAAAACCTGAGCCACTGTGGGGGAATAGAGACAGGAGCTGCAGTGGCCCACAGCCACGAGAACCCAGGTGTGCCTCCCAGAGCACCATCCAAGTCCCCTGCCTCCTATCTAGAGGGTGAAATGTGTTTCAGGGAGGACACGCCTTAAGAACAATGAGGAGCTGTCAACACCTTCCAAAAAAAGGAGAGAGGCAGAGAGGCCTAACCACACCTGACTCTGGGGTTTTACACTTGGCAAAGCACTTTTACTGAACTTACCTCATTTGCTCCTTACAAAAACATGTGAGGTAGGTAGCATAGGTGCTGTTACGACAATGATGCCAGGGAAGTCCAGGTCAGGTAGAGCAGGTCTGGGAGGAGTCCTGTCCCTCTGCTTTGCCTCCCCAGACTCCCCGCCTCTTGTCAGCTGTCTGTACATCCCTCTTTATTCCCCATCTTGGCTGAGACACCGTGGTTGGAATCAAGAAGCCACCTGTCTTGAGCTACCACCTTCAAAAGCCTTTCATTCCCTCCTAATGGGGCAAGGCGCCAAGGCTGCCCCACCCTAGGGGTGGATTAGGCCTCCGCCTCCCTGTTGGGGTTTAAGGTACATCAAAGGAGCTCCCTGCACCAAAATAGCACTTGCAGGCCCTGCCTGGTAGCCTGAAATCACACCAGGATAGTTCCCGTTTAGGTTAACGCTTTGTACCTCAAAGGCCCCTGTTCTAAATTCACCAGTGTCCCTGGGAGGGACTCCCAGGCTGCAACCTCTAGCACCTTCGTTGGCATTGTCTTGCCTGTCACTCTGTGCATTGCACAGACATTGCCTAATACCAGTTTGCTGATGGAATTAGATTGTCTCTAGCAAGGCCTGTGGGAATGGGGCACAGGATGGGATAGTTTTGATCCTGGGTGAGGGAGAGTGTGAGAAGGGTCAGTGACTCAGTGAGGGGAAACAGGAGAGAAGAGGTAGGGGTGTTGAGAAGGGTAGGACGTGTTTTTGGCAGGAGTAGAGGAGACCCTGAGTCTAAGAAGGAAGGTAGAAGGCATTACACGAGCTTTCCAGAGATGATGGGGAGTAGAAAAGGGCTGAGTGTAGAGGATGGGTCTATTTTGGGGAGTTAGGGGTCTGTGCTTGAGGAGGGGGCTATTTGTGGGGGACATTCTGGTTCCCCACAAGTAAGAGCTCTCCTCTGTGGAAGTTGAGGGAAAAAAATGTAATGGCATGGGAAAATGTTGGTGATCTGTTGATAAGTGAAGAAAAAACAGAACACAAAGTAGGATCCTTGTTTTGTAACAATAGCTGGAAAGACATCAAAACGTTAGTGGTTATATAAAGGTGACTATATCAAAGGTGACTTGCATTTCTTCTTGGAACCTTTCTATAGTTTTCAGATTTTCTACAATGAACTTGGAATACGATTTAAAAAAAAAATCAGGAAAAGGGTTATTTCAGAGGAGGATCCATTGATTATGTGTTGAGTGCTTATTAAATTCTCCAGTGTTGACACTGCATGTAAAGACTGGAAGCCATGATTATTGTTGCTCTCACATCTAGTCATGGCCCAGAGGTACAGTTCAGTGCAGAAGGACATGGACTCTGGAACTAGACTGCCTGGTTTCAAATCCTTCTTCTGATCCTGTGTGACCTGGGCAAATGGCTTGATCTTTCTGTGTCTTAGTTGCCTCATCTGTAAAATGGAGATAATAACAGTATGTGAAAGGATTAGTTGAGCTGATACACATGAACACTTAGAATAGCAACTGGTATAGGGTAATCACAACCTGAGTGTCATCTGTTATTGTCATTAGTGGTTAAGAGCTTTGCCTCTGGAGCCAGCCTGTCTGGGTTCAAATCCTTGCTCTGTTCCTGTCTGGCTTGGGAAATGATTTCATCTCTATCTCTATCTCAGTTTCCTAATCTGCAAAATGGGGATAAAAGTAATGGTGCCTCATTCATGAAATGAGTAATGGTGAAAATTAACCAAGTAACTATGGATAAAGTACTTAGAACAGGGCGTGGCACATAGAAAGTGCTCAGTGTGAACTATAATTTTTATCATTCTTCTTCTTCTTCTTCTTCTTTTTTTTTTTTTTTTTTTTTGAGACAGTCTTGCTCTGTTAGCCCAGAGCAAGACTGTCTCAAAAATGTGGAGTATAGCAGCACAATCCCAGCTCACTGCAACCTCTGCCTCCTGGGTCCAAGTGATTGTCCTATCTCAGCCTCCTGAGCAGCTGGGATTACAAGTGCATGCCACCACTCCCAGCTAGTTTTTCTATTTTTAGTAGAGATGGGGTTTTGCCATGTTGGCCAGGCTGATCTTGGACTCCTGACCTCAAGCGATCTGCCCGCCTCTGCCTCCCAAAGTGCTGGGATTACAGGCATGAGCCACCATGCCCATTCTATTACTCTTGGTGAAGGCAGAGAATGAGGGTACACAGCACCCTGTATAGTGCCAGCCTGGGGTTCAGGATGCATAAGACGGCTGTGGTGGGCACTGTAGGATGGCCCCATTCTCTCTCTCTTGCCTCTCCTGTGTCCTCCTTCAGCCTGGGTTATTCTGGTTGTCTTCTTGTTTGGAAAAATCATTCTGAATGGGAATGACTTCGTGATGTAGATGGATGGGTGGGGCAGCTGGTCTGGGAGACCTCAGGAGGTCTTGTTTCTGCACCCTCTTCCCCACTTCTGAGCAGGCTTGGACTTAACTTTCAGTCATAAACAAGCATTAGGAATGAGATCCCTGACTGGGCGCGGTGGCTCATCTCTGTAATCCCAGCACTTTGTGAGGCTGAGGTGGGTGGATCACCTGACATCAGGAGTTTGAGACCAGCCTGTCCAACAGGGTGTAACTCAGTTTCTACTAAAAATATAAAAAATTTAGCCAGATGTGGTGGTGGGCACCTGTAATCCTAGCTACTTGGGAGGCTGAGGCAGGAGAATCACTTGAACCTGGGAGGCAGTGGTTGCAGTGAACCAAGATTGCACCACTACACTCCAGCCTGGGTGACAGAGTGAGACTCTGTCCCAACCCCCGCCCCCCAAAAAAAGGAATGAAGATCCCATTCCTCCTCTGCCTGGCTGGGGAAGTGATTTCACCTCCCCGTGTTGTTAGCTGCATGTAAACTATGTGTGTTTGTAATAGCAAAAAAATTAGAGACCTCTGAAATGTTCACCCATCTGATAAAATCCAATGCAACAGTAAAAAGGAAAGGGCAGGATTTCTATGTACCGATGTGGAAAGGCACTAATATAAATTGAGTGAAAAATTTGTGTGCCCAACACTGTGCTTCCATTCAAGCAGGTTAAAAATATACACGTATATTGCCTATAGGTCTCCAGTCCCTCATCCGCAATTCCCAAATCCAAAAGGCTCTGAAAACCAAAACTTTTTGTCTTTGGTTTGTGGCAAATTTATGTGGTAGCAAAACCAGAGCTAAAAGGATGTTGTTGGAAATAGATGTTCGGTGCCACAAAGGAAAATTTGCACTGAGACAAAGGATCTTTCAGTAACGCAAGTTGTACTTCCTGGACTGCAGGAAGGGTACCCTCACTAGCCATCGTGCCACGAGAGTACAATGAACAAAGGAAAACACACAGACTTATCCCTTATGTATTTGGGGTTGTCTTTACTGCTGTGTCTGATCTCCGTTGGCTGGAGTCAGACCTCACAAGCTAAACTAAAACCCCGATTGGCTAATGACTTAAAACTTTTCTAAACAGGCAAAAGCAATGGAGAGCTGGGACATGCCTGTGAGCAAATTCAGTACAGATATCTTGATTAAAGTACAAGGACATAGAATGTACCACGTGGCTGTAAGCATGGCATGTCTAACAGCTACACAGGCTAGGGCTTAATGAAGTTATTAGCACATTTATAATTTAACAAGAAAAGAAACTTTAAAAAGGAACTTTTCTACTTCCCACAGATGTGAAGCCATTTGCAGTTTTTAATGATCCCTGTTAGTCTAAATACACTATAGCCCACACCTAGCAGGACCTACTGTCTTGATTTGCCTGAGACTGAAGGGGTTCCCTGGACATGAAACTGGAACAGTCCAGGGCAAACTGGGGTGACTGGTCACCTTAGGCAGAGCCTGCTTGTGTTATGGAATACATGCTGTATGCACTTTATTACTTGTCTAAAATGGGAAAAGTTCTTGATTCTGCAAGCCATTTGTGCCCAAGAACATTCAGCTGAAGGACCTGGATGTTCTTAGACTATCTCTGGGAAGGGGACACAAGCCACCAGCCGCAGCCTCTGGAAAGGAAACGGGTAGCTGGAGGGTAGAAGTAGGAGGAGAGTTTTGACTGAATATCCTTTTGCATCTTTTGACTGTGAACGATGTGAATGTATTATCTGCTCAAAAAATACATACAGGAAACTATGGACAAACAAAACACACTGAACTTTTGACTAAACTACAAATAGAATTTTAAAGATTTTGGAAAAAAGAAATTACTGTGATGCTGTCAGAGAAATGCTTGTCTTTCTGATTCTGCAGGTTCCGGTGTATCCTGTTCTCAGAGCTACTTGTCTATGGATCCCCAGTCTGGGAGTCTGGCTTTTGGTTTTCTGAGCTCAGAGGGCTGTGTGGGTCTCTCCTAGAGGTAACTAAATGAGAGCTGGCAAACTAAAGCTCTCACTTACTTCAGCCGCACGCTCCACACTCAGGGATGATTTTTTTTCCTGGTTGGTAGTTATTATTATTTTTGAGAAATCCAGAACAATCATGCAAAGCAAGTAGACACAGGCTGGGCCAGCTGAGATTGACCATATGCCCTGGGTCTCTTGGTGATACAATTAGCTGGGTTTTTTTTTCCAGCAGTGAGTTGCAGTGAGCAGCAGCTCACGCCTCTGGCAGCCAGCGAGGCCACATGATGATGCAACAATGCGAAAAAGGCAAGCCCAGGCAAGGCCAGCGGGAGCTCTGGCATCAGCCAGAGTTGCTGATGCCAGAATTGCTCTGCCGGCTACCCAGGACTGCAGGGAAGTGGGGGGAGCCGACTGCCCAGAGGCCAAAACTGGCGTCCTGCTCACTCAGCCGTGAGCCTTTCCACTCCAAACTCCGGCTCCCTCATCCCTTCCCTCCTTCCTGCTCAGTGGCAGAATCTATTCCTAGTTCCCCCACTCCTCAGGGGTAAAAGGGTCCCTTGAGACTTCTAGAAGTGAGATAGAGGGGTCTGTGCAAGGAGAGACTAAATCAGGCTTCCCAAGCCTTGAGGATGGAGGGTGGGGAGCTTTCAATCACCTGGGGAGATTTTTCAAAATATCTGTACACTTGTGCAGCCGGCAGACGGCCCCTCATCCAATTTTAATTCAGTGGGTTCAGATAGGGATGGGACTTGGAATATATATTTTGATTGTGTTATTATCTAAGATGGTAGTAACGATTTAAAATATATCTATTATGATGAATAAGCCTACTTTACACCCCAAGACGGACAGGTTGTGCACAGCACAATTCCGGGGCTGCTGTCCACCCAGACTTCCTAATGGTACCACGGAGGGGGTAAAACAGTGGACCTGCTCCTCCCTCCAGAGGCAGCCATTGCCACTGTTTCTTGTCTCTCTCTCTCTCTTTTTTTTTTTTTTTTTGAGTCTCACTCTGCTGCCCAGACTGGAGTGCAGTGGCACAATCTTGGCTCACTGCGGTCTCAACATAGCGGGTTCTTACCTCAGCCTCAGTAGCTGGGACCAGAGGTGTGTGCCACCATACCTGGCTAATTTTTGTATTTTTGTGTGGAGACAGGTTTTCACCATGTTGCCCAAGCTAGTCTCTAACTCCTGGGCTCAAGTGATCCACAAGCCTCGGCCTCTTGAAGTGCTGGGATTATAGGAGTGAGGCCGAGTGCGGCCCCTCTTATGTCTTTTTGCAGAGAGAATCTATGTGTATACAGGGCCTGAGCATTTGGCACAAGGGGTTCTCCCACTTACTTTGTTGAGAATCACTGAGCTAGAGGGAGGAAGGCCTAGTGAGGGCGATTTCAGGCATATTCAAAAGGGAGAAAGGAGAATTGGGCTGACCTTGAGATCTCACTGCAGCAAGCCCCCACCCTCTCGGAGTCCCACACACCCCATTAAGAAACTGTCAGGGTCTCCATTTCTGCATTTCTGGCAGTTAAAGAACTTTTCTTTTCAATATTCCTTCTCCCAGCCCTTCAGGGAATTTTCAGATGGATTTGCTGACTAAAGGATTTTCCTGCATTTAAGTCCAATGGCTTCTTAGACTTTGATGTCAACTCGCTTAAAAAGAAAAAGGAAAAGCGTGTACCAGAAGGAGGAAATTGGGTCCTGCTGTGTAACTTCAGTAGTCTCACTGTCTCTTCGTGCCCCGGTTTCCTCCTTTCGGAACTGAGGAGGATCATGCCTACCTCATTTTTCTCAGTCTCTCTGGGGAATGGTAAGATTATAGCTATGAAAGCACCCATTTTAAACACGAAGATATCAAGGTCCGAGTTCATGTTCTGCACAGGTGGCACCGTTCCTCTTGTTGTGGCCACGTCCAGAGAGTCAGCAGGAAAAGACCCTCTTATGGGAAGATGAGGGAGAGGAAGGAGTCCCATCTGCTGTGCTTCTGGCTGTGGTGGAGATGGCTAGTGTGTCATCACAAACCTGTGCAGCTTTCTGGGGACTACATTGACCTGTGCATCCAGGGGTGCATCCAAGTTCTCACCAATGGACCGTGGGTGGGAGATGACATCAGTCCCTTCTGAACCAGGTGTGAAGAAATGCACATGGCTCCTTTGGGCACCTTCCCCTCCTCCCAGCTAGAGGCAGACATCGTGAGGCCCCAGGGAATGGTGGAACCATATGGTGGAAAGAACCTAAGACCCCGAATTACCACATGGAGGGCAGCCACCTGCCCACCAGAACACCTCCATTGGATTCATATATGAATGAGAAACAAACTTGTATTGGCTTGTCACTGAAATGTGAGAGTTTATTTATTACAGGAGCTGGTGTCATCCTATCACATACCCCGACTTTTCCTCACAAGTCCAGTCCTAAGCTGCTAGGATGCAGGCAGGAGACATCAGCAGTTATTCCTCCCAGCAGTTACAGGGTTGTCAGAAACCACTGAGGATAGGGAAGAGGGAGTAACACCTCCCTGGCTCTGAGCTTGGCTCCAGCATGGCCACTAGCATTTGGGGCTTGGGGGTTGCAGCTGTCGCATTCCACAGTGGCCCTGATGGCATTACAATTACAGATGACACTTAGAGCCACCCTAGGGAAGCAAAAGCAAGGACAAGCAGCTGATGGGAGGGGGAGCAGAAGGGCTGGGGCCGTAGAGCCCTGGCTCTGCTCTGATCCCAGTCAGCGTCCCTTCAGCTGAAGCGAGCACTTCTTAGGGCCTCCATTTCTCTGTCTGTATGAGAATCTAATTCACCTGTCCTGGATGGGGGAGGGAGGAGGGTATGGATGTTGAGGAGTGAGAGAACGGATCTGAAACCTGAGGTCGCTAAGATTCCACACTGCTGTGTAATCAGAGGCCCTGAACCCAAGCCCCTCTACACTTTGGTGTATGCTGAGGCTTTTTCTTGGGAGGGTCTTAAAAACAATATGTTAGGGAAGAAGAAAAATCAAAGAGCATAATTCTTATTATTTTGGAATCATCGAGAAGGCTGCTGTGAGCTAAGGGCCTGGACGGGGTGTCTTGGGAGCTTTGAAGGCAGCTCACAGGACTGAATTCAGAATCTGTGGGCAGTTCCCTTTGCCGCCAAATGTCCATTGTCAGGTGTCACAGTCGCTGAAATTCCTCCGTTAGGGTTTCATTCCTTTGGATTACTTTTCGTTTCTACACAAAAATGAAAGCAATGATAATCCTCAATATGTGTTCAGGGCTTTAGACTTAGCCCAATAATCCTAAAAGACACAGACAGTGAGGCCGGGATACCTGGTGTGGCTACTTCTCCAATCATGCTTCTCCTGACAGAGTGATTATGGGGTAATTCGACTCCTAGGTGTATATCTAGAAACTCTTGCACATGTGCCCCAGAGACATGGATAAAAATACTTACAGTAGCCCTATGTATAATAACAAAAATTGGCAATAACCAGTGCCCATTGATAGAAGAAGGAATAATTGGATGTTTAAAAAATTGAAAATGGGCCAGATATGGTGGCTCATGCCTGTAATCCCAGCACTTTGGGAGGCTGAGGCTGAAGTTTAAGCCCAGGAGTTTGAGACCAGCCTGGATAACATAGAGTAGAGACGGTACTTAAAAGAGTAATAATAGGCAGGCATGGTGGTGTGTACCTGTGGTTTCAGCTACTTGAAAAGCAGAAGTGGGAGGATTGCTTGAGGCTGGGAGGTTAAGGCTGCAGTGAGCCATGATCACACCACTGTACTCCAGCCTGGGTGGCAGAGTGAGACCCTGTCTCAAAATAAATAAATAAAGATAAAAACCTGAAAACGATTGAACCATGTTTAAATTATGTATTGCTGGCTAACAAATCATGTTAAAACACAGTGGCAACCCCAATCATTTATTTGCTCACATTTCATAATTTAATCAGGGGTTTACCAGGGATAGCTTGTCTCTACTTCGTGTGGGTCCACCTGGGAAGGTTCAACTGGGGCTAAGAGATCGACTCTCAAGATGCTCCTTGTATGGCTGGCAAATTGATGCTGACTGTTTGCTGGGAGATCTGCTGGAACTCTTAGCTAGTGGGCCTTCATTGTCCTGTGTGTGACCTCTCCACAGGACTTCTCACAGCATGATGGTCTCAGAGTAATCAGTCTTCTTACACTGGAGGCTTAAGGTCCCTGAGAATACAAAGGCACCAGGAGTTACTACACCTTCTTAAGGCTTAGGTCTGGGATGGGCACAGGGTTACTTCTGTCCCATTCTATTGGCTAAAAGAGTCACGAGCCAGAAATATTCAAGGGGAGGCAACTACAAAAGAGTGTGAATGCCCAGAAGTATACCTCATTGGGTGGCATTGACTTCCAAAAACCACAACCACCCAGAGCTACGTGGATAAATATTAGGTTAGGTTATGCTTCAGGATCAAATAACCTCCACATTTCAGTGACTTCACACAACAAATGGTTACTTCTTTCTTATATACATATCCCATAGAAATTGGTGGGGCACTCTGCTCCACACATTCACTCAGGGATTCAGGCTGATGGAGACTCCACCATGTTGTAGTGGCACCGTTGCACCATCCGGGACATGAGACCTCATTTTTGCCACAACTGTGAAGGACAGAAAGACTGGAGAATTTTACCTGGCCTCAGTTCTAAAGAGACAAATATCATTTGTGCTCACATTTCATTGGCTGGGACAGGTCACATGACCCCATATATGCTGTAAGTGGGACTGGGAAATGTAGGAGAACACCTGGAAAAATGGGTGAGCATCACTGTCCTGGCCACATGTAATAGAACCATTTAAAACAAAAGGAAGTTAGACATAAAACGCAAGGTAGTGTTCACTTTGGGGTAGGCATGGAACACATAAGCAAGGGTCAGTGATTTGTTATATTCTAGTTTTTGGTTTCAGCAGTTAGTGTTAATTATTTTTTTAAAACAAATGAATGAATGAATAGACAAATGAATAAATAAAAGAGAGGGCTCAGAAGCAGCAGCACTGAAGTCTAACCTCAGAGTACAGGCCAAAAATGACCCTTCAATAAACATTCACTGAGTTTCCAGCTGAAGCTGGTAGGCTTCTCTAAAGTACAAAGATGAATAAAGTATGGGCTCAGCCCCTCCAGGTACCCAGCTCAGAGGATTCAGTAGACACATAAACCAAGCAGGTGAGCAAAGCACAGTGGAGAATCTTGCTCAGTGGGAGCTCTGGGAGCCAGAGGGAGCCCCGAGAAGGCCTCACCCTCAAGTCACATGTATCGGGCCATGAAGGCTCAATAGGAGTTCAAAAGGCGGAGAATGGAGTGGAGGTAGGGCAAGTGGGTCAGGGCACTCATTTCACAAATGGGAAGATTTGTGCAAAGGCACAAAGAGGCCTTCACCCCTCAGGTGGCCTGTGTTCACAGCGTTTCCTCACTGCCTTTCAGTCCTTAAATGATCTGATCAACTTAATCCCTCTGTACTGCACCATACAGAACCCCCTGCAAGACCCAGGCATTTGTCCTCCCCAATGGCTGCCAGGAGTGAGGAGGAGGCTCTCTTGCCCAAGGTCATGCACTCCCCTCCTGCAGGGGCAGCCACATCCAAATGACCGTTTGGAAACCCAGGAAGTAAGGGCCTAGTTCTCATGCTTCAATTCAGCAAACTCTGCAGGACCATCCCAGCTCCAGGGCTCCAGGTGGGATCAGCCAAGCCCTCTCTGGGCCTCCAGCCTCCATCAGACCCGGGTTCTTCTCTCCGCCCAATTCTGTTTCTGTTATATCCAGACAAGTGTGGATTGTGAATGCACTCCCCAATAAACTTCCTTCAAGCAAAACTGTATGCCAGAACGTGTTTTCTGGGAAAGCTACCTAAGATACCCAATAAAATATAGATAATGACTGAATTCCAAGGGATGCCTTTCCTGGGGATGCTCATACAGCAATTATCCTTATAACTAATATTCATGGAGTGATTTCTATGTGCCAGTCTAAGCACTTTGCCTTTAAGATAGTATTTAGTGATGAACAGAGCCTCACAGTAAATGAATGAATTTCTTTATTCTTTTTCTTTTTTATATATATTTTTTGGGACAGAGTCTGGCTCTGTTGCCCAGGCTGGAGTACAGTGGCACAATCCTGGCTCACTGCAACCTCCATCTCCTAGGTTCAAGAAATTCTCCTGCCTCAGCCTCCCAAGTAGCTGGAATTACAGACATGTGCCACCATGCCCAGCTAATTTTTGTATTTTTAGCAGAGATGGGGTTTTCATCCTGTTGGTCAGGCTGGTCTCGAACTCCTGACCTCAAATTATCTACCTGCCTCAGCCTCCCAAAGTGCTGGGATTACAGGTGTGAGTCACTGTTCCAGGCTTATTTATTTATTTATTTTTTGAGATGGAGTTTTGCTTTGTTATCCAGGCTGGAATGCAATGGTGCGATCTCAGCTCACTGCAACCTCTGCCTCCCAGCTTCAATCAATTCTCCTGCCTTAGCCTCCGAAGTAGCTGGGATTACAGGCACCTGCCACTGTCCTCGGCTAATTTTTTTGTTTTTAGTAGAGATGGGGTTTCACCATGTTGGCCAGGCCGGTCTTGAATTCCCGACCTCAGGTGATCCACCCGCCCCGGCCTCCCGAAGTGCTGGGATTACAGGCATGAGCCACCATGCCTGGGCATGCCTGTTTATTTTTATTTATTATTATTTTTTTAAGGCTAGTCAAGTGAAGCAGAGGGAGTGGAGAAGGAACAAAAAAATCTGTAACTGGTTGTGATCAATTAATTGTAAACACCACTTGGACCAGCCTAAAGGAATGAATTTCTAATGGTGAAATTTCAGGCTTAGGCAGTAGCAGGCTTGGGTATCTGGAAGTGTTTGTGTTGCGCAGATTCCATCACAAATTTCTCTGCCTTAATGTATTGTCAATCCTGGTCCTTGTGTTGACTGGGTAAAGCCCCTAGCAGGTCATGGTGTTAGTTCCCAAAGTCATTCTTCTAAAAAAAAAAAAAAAAAAAAAAAGCCAGACATGGTGGCTCATGCCTGTAATCTCAGTACTTTGGGAGGCTGAGGCAGGCAGATCACCTGAGGTTAGGCGTTCGAGACCAGCCTGACCAACATGGTGAAACCTTGTCTCTACTAAAAATACAAAAATTATTTGGGTATGTCGGTGGGTGCCTGTAATCCCAGCTATTTGGGAGGCTGAGGCAGGAGAATCTCTCGAACCCGGGAGGTGGAGACTGCAGTGAGCTGAGATGGTGCCACTGTTGACACTGTCTCAAAAAACAAAAACAAACGAACAACACAAAAAATCCCAACAAAAAAAGCCAGGGCTGCTTCTGCTCAATAATGTTCTATGTTTGTTCCACCTCTTCTCTGGGGTCTCACTTCTTGGGAGCCTGTGTGGAGGTGAATTCCTCTGAAAGCTGCCTGCCCGTATTTGGGACTCCCCAGTCGCTTTCTGAGAAATGGTGACATTGTTCCCATCACTTCCTCTCCCTAGGCGGCTCCTGCAGCCACTGCTGAGCTCTTCTCAAATCCTCCTTCTTGAGGCTTGGGCTTTCCACCTTTCCCCTTTCCCCTACACCACCCTGCTCCACCCTACTCTGGGGCAGGGGGCTGGTCTGGGTGCTCTTGTCCCCCCGCGGCTGAGCCTCCCTCCATCCCTAAGCTGCCTGCTTCCCAGGGAACATGCTCAGGCAGCAGGCTGTGTGTGGCTCTGATTGGTTTTCTGACCATCAGGAACATGTCCCAACATGTTGAGCTCTGGCATAGAAGAAGCTGGTGGCTATTCTGTCCTTGGGGCTGGCTGTTTTCAGGTGAGAAAGGGGATGGTAGGAGACAGGGGACCTCCAGAGACCTCAGGTAGACCTTGGTCTCTTTCTCTGAACAGGGTATGTGATCTGCCGGCAGATCCTTGGGACAGGGCTGGGATCTGGTGTATGTGTGCTTATGTGAGTGTGTGCTGGGAGTCAGATTTTGTGTGTGACTTCTAACAACCTGCTCCCTTGCCTGCTGCAGGGCAGAGGTCCTCCCTTAGAGTGTGTCTGGCTACACATTCAAGCTCATGTTTACAAACTTTTTTTTTTTTAAGCACTGAATAGTACTAGATACTTAGTAGATACTTAAGAAATACTGAATATTGAATGTGGTGGTGAGCTAGAAGTTATAAAAAAATTGTTTCCCAAAAACAACAACACAAAGAATTATTTCATTGTGAAGCTCAGTACCGCAAAACTTTAAATAATTCATTATAGGCCTTTATAAAAAATTTCCCCCCAAAAATAAACAGATAGACAATGTGCCCTCTATTTGAAATGACTGAAAGCGGAGGGGCTTTAAGCCAGCGGGAGGAGGTGCCTGTCCTGGCTGGACATTGGTAAACCACTCTTTGGATGGTTTGGATGTATAGAGGGGAAGGTGGAGACAGCAGTGGGTCTGAGAGTGGGGTCCTGAGGCCATGCTGTGGACTTTCTGGGGTTTAACCACAATTCTGGCCTGACTCCAGGGCCAGGCAGGCCCAGGGGATCTGCTCCTGTGTCCTCCCACCCCTACCTGGGCTCCCACCTTCACAGTGGAGGAGACAGAAGCCTCTCCTTCCTGAGGTCAGCTATGTTAGAAGAAGAGAATGTGCACTGGACACATTTTTCCCACAAAGTGGGCCTCAAGTTTTCCCCTCAAAGTGGGCCTCACATTTTTCCCTCAAAGTGAGCCTCTTTTAGTTGGAGAATGACTTGGCACTCCCCAGGAGGGCACGGCATTGTTAGAATGAACCCTCTTTCTGGCCCACCACCACCACTGACTCACTATGGCAGGCAAGCATTTACTCAATGTAGCTGAAAAGATCAGGAGGATGACATTAATAAATAAAAATCCATATATAATAAAAAATGATGTGCAAAGAATTATTTCGTTGTGAAGCCCAATACTACAAAACTTTATAATTCATTACAAACCTTTATTAAAAAAAAAAAAAAAAAAAGGCTTGGGGCATGCCTGGGCAGAGATTTCCAGACTGAGCAGCCTGAGATGTCAGTAATTGCAGCTGCTCCAAGCCTGGCTCCTATTTTTTAGTGGGATTTATTTTCAGATTAACAATCCATCCTCTGCAATTTTTCAAAGCAAAACTGCACATGTTTCAGGCACATAAAGGAGGCAAAGATGAAGTCCAAGGGAGGTCAGAGGTATGGGGTAGACGGGAGCAGATAGACACGTTACTCATTTCTGTGTCTGGCAGAAGCACCAGTAGACACTTCCAGAATTATCCTTTATTTATGTCATTTCCATAAACTGTCTGCAAATGAGGGTTATTGGGTATTTTTGTCATTCTGGAGCCACAGAAATAAAGGGTGACAAGCACAGAGCCTTGGGCAGGAGGCAAAAGTCCTGTGTTCCCACCATAGTCATTTCTTTGCTGCATAATCTGAGTCAGGTCACTAAACTCTTCTGAGCCTCAGTTTCCCCAGCAGTGTATATGGGCCCTGTGGGGAGTATTTAGGAGACAGACAACTCACTCATCAAATCCTCTGCTTCCTAGCCAACAAAGCTGCAATCACAGAGTTCTTCTGTTGAGGTGAGTGTACGGTGTACGGAGATTGGTTCAATGTCCAATTCCTCCTCGGTTTTCTGATAGTGTCTCCAATTCCCTCCTTCCCGGAAGCATGTGACAATCAACATCTTTGTATACTTAAGTTCAGTGGACCTTCAGTTGCCTCATCTGTGAAATAAAGGGGACTGAAAAATCATTCTGGCCTCAAGATGTTTTGTTGGGGTGTCTAGGTGCCTCAGGTGTGTCTGGGAGAGGTGACCTAATGAGGGATCAATGGGAATAGAGGTGGTATCGTGGGGCTTTTCTGGAAATTGCAGAGAGGCGCATCGTTTTTATTATTTATGGATTTTTATTTACGACTGTCATCCTCCTGATCTTTTCAGCTGCATTGGGTAAATCCTTGCCTGCCATAGTGGGTCAGCGGTGGGCCAGAAAGGGGGCTCATTCGAACAGCGCCCTCCTGGGGAGTGCCAAGTCATTCTCCAACTAAAAAAGGCCAAATTTGAGGCTCACTTTGTGGGAAAAATGTGTCCAGTGTACCGACGCACATTAGAGACAACGGGAGGAGGGAAGCGCCCTCCTGCAGCACGCGAGGTTCCGGGACCGTCTGGGGCTGCTGGAACTCTGCCAGGCTCAGCTGGCTCGGCGCTGGGCAGCCAGGGCCCCGGGCCTGGGGGAGGGCCGTCCAGGGGCGGCGCGGTAGGACGAGCGCGGGTCCCGCCCCTCCTGGGGGTAGGTTATATTTGCGCCCGCAGAGCGGCACCAGTTGAGGTGTGAGCAGCTGCGGGAGTCAGTTCCTTGTGGGGTCAGAGCTGAGCGCGGATTCGCCGAGGCACCGAGGCACTCAGAGGAGGTGAGGGAGCGGCGGCAGCCAACAGGGGACCCCAGGCCGCCGGCCCAGAGCCGAGCCGAGCGAGCCTGCCTGTGTCCGTGGGTGTCGCGGGGATGCGTGTCCGCGGGTGTGCGCTGCGTTCACAGGTGTTTCTGAGGCAGGTGAATGACGGGCGTGGGTCTGTGCCTGCTCGGCTTCCGCATACGGTGTCTGTAAAGTGCTCGGGTGACGGGGATCGGGATGTGCCGGAGACTCCGGGCGGAGAGCGGGATTACAAGTACAGGGATCCCGGGCCACGCTCCCCGCCCCTAGAAACCCAGCTGGGGCGAGGGAGGGCGTAGACGGGGCCGCTCTGGGAGCTCGCCTTCCGCAGCGGTGGGCTCCAAGCCCCAGGTGCAGTTTGCTCCTGGCGTGGGAATGAAGTCCGTGTCCCTGGAGGGGTCCAGGAGGGGCGAGGAAAGCGGAGTGGAGTAAGTTCGTCTGGGATCGGTCCCGGGCGGTTTTCGGAACCAAGCGGCGCCGCCCTGGCTCACGTCCCGGGGTTCAGGTCCTCTACGCCACTGTGTCCACCACCTGGCTGGGCGCTGAGGTAAGTGCGAGCAGTTTCCTGGCCCTTGGGAATGTGCCAGGACACGTCCCCTAAGGACAAGCGAGGAGCTGACTCATTGTGACAAGGAGACCCCAGGGAACGGACTGTATAAGGTCAGAACTTCGCCCGGGCTGGGGTACAGTGGGAACCCAGAAGCCCCCTCCCTGTCCCTTCAGGTCTCGCCCTCCCATCAGCACAGTGACCAATTTGGCTGGCACAGCGTGTTCCCAGGGAAGCCGGGCACTGGAGGTCCAGGTCGCCGCGTCTGATCCCCGCTCCGCGGCGCGCCCTAGGGGCCGGGGAGTCAACGCCCTGCGCTGGGCGGGCTCTAACCAGCCTGTCAGTCGAGGAAGGGCAGGGGTCTTCTCTACCTCTTTACCACCGCGGCCGGGAGAACCACGGCCCAGCTTGTCCTCGAGTCGGGGCGCTGGACTCCCGGGCAAGAGCGGAGCCTACGCCTGAGTGGGAGGTGGGGAGAGATCCTGTCTTTGCGGCGTTGGTGGCGTTTCTGGGGGGCACGACACTGCTCAGGGCCTCCATCAGCTGCCGCCGGGGTTCGGGGTGCCCCGACCTAGCCCAGATTCCCTCTCCGAAAGCGACAAGACTGAGCGGAGCAGCGGGGTGAGCGCCGCCGCCGGGCGCGGACCACGGCACGTCCTCTCAGTCCGGAATCCCCGGGGGACACTTGCGCCCTCTTAGTGCAGAAAAACATCTAGGGGATGGGTTTGGAACTTGGGGCGCCTAGACAGCTTCCCGTCTCCTTCCCTCGCTCCACGTCGTGTTTTTGGGAGAACTTCCGAGAGATTTTGTTTTCGTTGCTCCCGTCTATTTTTATTTTCCAGGGATCTGACTCATCCCGTGCTTTGGGCGTGGAGATAAGGTGGAGGGGCCAGCTCTCGGCGCGCGCGCGCGCGTGTGTGTGTGTGTGTGTGTGCGCGCCCGCGCGCCCGTGTGTCTGTGTCAGAGACGGCGCAGGAGCGCGCGGTTTCGCAACAGCGGCGGGAGTTTTGGAAGCCTGGCCTGCCCAGCGTGACGTGTTCGCGGCCCTCCGGTCCCCTCCCATTCTCCCTCTCCCCACCCCAGTGTGACGCGCAGCCGGAGTGGAAGCGGAGTTTTGGCGGGGGCGGGCAGCGCCTTGCGGGAAACTGACTCATCGCTACTCCCCCGCTGTCCAATGCTCTGCCCACGTACCTCCCACCCCGCGCGTGATTTCCTGGAGGCCGGCGCCCCCTCCCGGCCCTGGTGAGAATGGCACACCCGCTTTCCCGCGGAGTGGGGCTGGCAGGCGGGAACCACCGCGGGTACTCCGGGCTCATCTGAGATCAACCCCTATGCCATTCACCGCTCCTTCAAAGGAACACTCCTTAGGTTCAACAGTATTTATTGAGCTCTTACTGGAAATTAAAGTATGACTGAAGTCTAAGGCAGGAAGGCCAACAAAGGAGGCTATTCTCAGTTATTTGTAGAACAAGGGTTTGCGTTTCTGAGTTTTCTTTGGGCTGAAAGTTATGACAATGCGCCTGAGAGCAGATTTAGATTGGGGAGGAGAGGCCTATGAGAGCCCTAAGGGAAGGGGTGGTAGAAGAGGAAAGGGTGCCTGCCTAGATCCTAGTCTTATCCTGAGCTCCTGAGAGCCAGGGAATATCCTTGATGGAGCCCTTCCTTGTGCCTCTGATGTATTGAGACCCAGAATGTCCATTTCAAACACACCAGTGTCCCCCTTGTCTGATACCCCAAGAGTGCCCATCTGAGGAACTGTGCTGAACACTTGCTTAAATCTTCAAACACCTACTTAAATCTTCAATCTGGATTAAGTTGGTCTCAAGAGGCAGGGCCTTGAAAAAGCTCCCTAAGTGATTTTTTTTTTTTTGAGACAGGGTCTCACTCTGTTACCCAGGCTGGAGTGCAATGGCACCATCCTAGACTCAAGCAATCTTCCTGTTTCAGCCTTTCAAGAAGCTGGGACCATAGTCGTGAGCCCCCATGCCCAGCTAATTTTTTTTTTTTTTTTTTGAGACAGAATCTCACTCTGTCACCCAGGCTGGAGTGCAGTGGCGTGATCTCAGCTCATTGCAACCTCCACCTCTTGGGTTCAAGCAATTCTCCTGCCTCAGCCTCCTGAGTAGCTGGAACTACAGGTGTTCACCACCACGCCCAGCTAGTTTTTATAATTTTAGGAGAGATAGGGTTTTTGCCGTGTTGGCCAGGCTGGTCTTGAACTCCTGACTTCAAGTGATCTGCCTGCCGCAGCGTCCCAAAGTTCTGCGATTGTAGACGTGAGCCACTGCGCCCAGCCCACCAGCTAATTTTTATTTTTAGTAGAGATAGGGTCTCTCTGTGTTGCTCAGGCTGGTCTTGAACCCCTGGGCTCAAATGATTCCCCCACCTTAGCCTCCCAGAGTATTAGATTACAGGTGTGAGCCACTGCCCCTGGCCTCCCCAACTGATTCTGATGGGACTCTCTGGTTAAGAAACCTCAAAATTAGAGAGGGAGTAGGTTCAATACTAGAGCACAGGACTCAGGGCAAACAGGCCTGTGTTCAGATCCTGACTCTGCCATTTATGAACTGTGTGACACTGGACAAGTTGCTTAACTTCTCTGAGCCTTTGTTACCTCTGCTGTAAAAAGGGAGCAAATAGCTATTCACTTTTTAGAGGATTGACATTTTTAAACTGCTTAGAACAGCCCCCATACATGAAAATATACAAATGAATCCCAACTCATGCCTAGGAGAGGGTAGACAGAGGTTCCTTGAGGGCTCTGTCCACTGTACTGTGTGACTCCTTTATGGGGCAGTGGCCTTTGGCCTTTTTAGCTGTATGACTTGGGGGCAAGTCTCGTATCTCTTCCATCTCCTGCCCTTTAAACTTGGTGTGAGGTTACCAAGCACCTCCTCTCCCAACCAGCTGGGACGTGAAACTGATCACAAGCAGTGGGGTGAGGTGGGATAGAGCAGATGTGGCATGTGTCCCAGGCTTCCTGCCTCAGGAACACTCAGCAGAGATTTCACCCCCTAGAGCCTGCAAGTTGGGACTTGTCCCTAGGAAAACCCAGTTGCTGCCAAGGTCGTGCAGTCCCTCAGTCCTGGAGTCAAGCCAGAGCGGGCAGCTAGGTGCCAGGGCTCCCTCATTGGCAAACTCACCCTTGGTTTTCCCTCTCCTGAAGTGGGAGGAGAGGAGCCAGGTAGATCAGCCACCTTTAATTTTCTTTGTCTGCAAAACGAGTTCCTTGGACACAGGCAGCACCGGGCAGGGGCTGCCAGGTGTCTAGACTTCAGATCACCTGATGTGCCTGGCAGGATGTGGCTCAGCCTGGGAGAAATTATCTTCTGCCCCGCCCTGCCCAGCCCCGCCCAGCCCCTCCTTACCCCTAGGCCACCCGCCTGATGACATCCTTGGGAAAGGGCTTCAGCCTACAGCACCTGTCAGCTGCTGTCTGAAGGGGATCATTGGCAGGGGGAAGTGATAGGGAGGAGGCTCAGTAAAACTGAAGGCAGACAGAAATAATCACACTTCCATTTTCCAAGCACTTCTGTATATGAAGTGCTGCTGGCACCTTACCTACATTAACTCAGTTAATCCTCACATCTATCCTCTGAGACAGTCACCATTACTATCTCCATTTCACAGATGAGGAAAATAGAGCTCAGACAAGTTAAGTTGCTTGTCCAGGGTCATTTAGTAAAACCTGGACTTCAACCCAGGCGATCTGGCTCCAGAGCCTTTCCGCTTAGCCCCCAAGATACAGCCTTTCATTCAGCTCTGTTCCATCTGCCTTGCTGGGTGGACTCCCCAATCAATTGCTTGAGTATGTGTCCACAGCCATGCTCTTTTTTTTTTTTTTTTTTTGAGACAGAGTTTTGCTCTTGTTGCCGAGGCTGGAGTGCAATGGCACGATTTTGGCTCACCACAACCTTCGCCTCCTGGATTTGAGAGATTCTCCTGGCTCAGCCTCCTGAGTAGCTGGGATTAGAGGCATGTGCCACCACACCCAGCTTATTTTGTATTTTTAGTAGAGATGGCATTTCTCCATGTTTGTCAGGCTGATCTCAAACTCTGGACCTCAGGTGATCCACCCACCTTGGCCTCCCAAAGTGCTGGGATTACAGGCGTGAGCCACCATGCCCAGCCCAGCCATGCTCTTTAAACTTGCACATGGCCCCCTTTATGGGTGAGGAAACTGAGACCTAGAGACAGTAAGTGGCTTTTTAAAACTTAGGTAGTAAGTGGCAGAGCTAGGACCACAACCCAGGTGCTTTTTGCCCCAGAGTCCAGGGTACTTTTACTCGGCTGAGTAGGGTTACCCTACTCGGGCATCTGGGTGGGGGTTCAGGAGGCTGGAGGAACTGTCAGACTGTTTATTTGGGAACTGACCTCCTGGCCAGGGCTGGGATTCAGAAACTGCTGGACTCTGGCAATTCACACGTATTTGGGGGCATTCACACCCATGAGGGACACCTCGGGGGGAAAACAAATTGATTTTAGCTGATAATACCTGGTGGTAAACAGGACCCTGATCCTCGCTTTTGCAATAAACTTGACTTTGTTGACATTAGCTTGCCCTTCAGCTGCCTGCTCCCCCAGTGACCTTGGGGTGACAGGCTGGCTGAGCTCTGCTGGTGGGGGTCAGGCCTCCTGTGAGATGGAGGCAGGAAGACCAGCTGGAAGGAGTCAGAGAGACCCTGTGGTAGGAAGACCTCATGAGGTGGCACAGCAAAGCCCAGCCAGGTAGTGTAGTGTCCAGTTTCCGCGGTGACCAGGGCCTTCCTTGTGTCTCTGCTGCAGGCACCATGTCAGAACAGGCTGGGGATGTCCGTCCGAACCCATCCAGCAGCAAGGCCCGCCGCTGCCTCTTCGGCCCAGTGGACAGCGAGCAGCTGAGACGCGACTGTGATGCACTGATGGCAGGCTGCATCAAGGAGGCCCGTGAGCGATGGAACTTCGACTTTGTCACTGAGACACCACTGGAGGGTGACTTCGCCTGGGAGCGTGTGTGGGGCCTTGGCCTGCCCAAGATCTGCCTTCCCAAAGGGCCCCTGGGAGGAGGCAGGCGGCCTGGCACCTCGCCTGCTCTGCTGCAGGGGACAGCGGAGGAAGACCACGTGGACCTGTCGCTGTCTTGCACCCTAATGCCTCACTCAGGGGAGCGGCCTGAGGAGTCCCCAGGTGGACCTGGAGACTCTGAGGGTCGAAAACGGCGGCAGACCAGCATGACAGGTGAGGACAGGTGCAGGGAAGGACATTGTAAGGGACCAGGATTCTCAGAGTCCATGGTCCAAGGGCTGACCTGTCCGGTCCTGGTCTAGTGTGCTCCTTAGGTAGAAGGGAACAGACCCAGAGGTCACACAGCAAGTAGGCAGCCAAGACCAACTAGCTAACATTGGTGGGGACCTTATATTATGCCAGGCCTTTTGCCAGGCTTCTAAGGTAGATTTAGTTAGTCCTTATGCAATGTTATACCATAAGACATTCTTGTCACCCTCCCCGCCTTTCTTTTTGAGATGGGTGTCTTAACTCTGTTGGCCAAACTGGAGTGTAGTGGAGTGATCATGGCTCACTGCAGCTTCAACTCCTGGGCTCAAGCGATCTTCCCACCTCAGCCTCCTGCGTAGCTGGGAAGCTGGGACTGCAGGTGCACACCACTATGTCCAGCTTATTTTTTGAGTTTTTGTAAAGACAAGGTCTCACCATGTTGCCCGGGCTGGTCTCAAGCTCTGAGCTCCTGCATCAGCCTCCCAAAGTGTTGGGATTACAGGCATGAGCCACCGTGCCCAGCCCCTTGCCATCCTTTTAGGAAAAGGAAACCAGGCTCAGAGAGGTAGAGTGATTTGTCTAAGGTCCCAAAGTGAATTTGCGGTTAGGTCAGGACTAATGGTAATAACAACTACTGACATTTACATGGGCCTGGAATTGTGCTGAACACTTTCATGGATTTTGTAACAGAATCCCTAGATCAGCACTTTCCAGTAGAACTCTGCAGGGATGGGAGGGTCCGGTCCAGGGGCCACAAACCACATATGGCTGTTGTGCACTTGACACGTGGCTCGTGTGACTGAGGAACTGAATTTTTCATTTTATTTGATTTTGGTCAATTTAAACAAGCACACAGAGCTAGTGGCTCCTCTACTGGGCAGCTTGGCTTAGAGCAGACCCACGGGTGCAGGTGCAGTGATGGATAAAATCACGTCTGTGAAGCATGGTGGGATGCTCCATAAGTACCCCCCAAGAGGCAGTGTGGACGTTTCCCAAGTTCTTCCTGTCCTCTTCCACCGTGCCCTCTTCCTCTTGGCCTGGCTGACTTCCACTGTCTCTCCTCAGATTTCTACCACTCCAAACGCCGGCTGATCTTCTCCAAGAGGAAGCCCTAATCTGCCCAGTCCTGGAAACGCGAGGGCCTCTACACCTTCTGCCTTAGTCTTTCAGATTGTGTGTCTTAATTATTATTTGTGTTTTAATTTAAACTCCTCCTCATGTATATATCCTGGCTGCCCCCTGTCCCCCAGCCTCTGGCATTAGAATTATTTAAACAAAAACTAGGCAGTCGAGTGATAGGTTCCTCGGAGTGCTGGGCATTTTTATTTGATGAAATACTATTTAAAACCTTCTCATCCTATTTCTCCGTGTCCTCTGTCTTGGAGGTCGGGTGGGCTGGCTTCCCCCAGTTACTTCCTCCTCCTCACTTGTCTGCAGAGTGGCATAGCACCCCCTGGAGGGACGCGGCTGCCTCCCCTCGCTGTCACAGGGGGTTATGAAATTCACTCCCTTTCCTGCACACTCAGACCTGGATACCTTTTCATTTGAGAAGTAAAGAGATGGCACTTTGAAGGGGCCTTGCTGAGTGGGGGCATCATCAAAACCTGCCCCGCCCAATCTTAGAGGAGGGCCCTTGACCTCTAAGGTCGGGTAGGGTGACCCTGAAGTGAGTGTGGCCTAGAGCAGGGCTGGGGACCTGGTACCCTCCTGCTCTTGATGCCCCCCTCTGTCCTGTGAAGGCAGGGGACCTTCCCGCCTGCCCTCATGGCCCCTCTGACCCGCACTGGGGAGCCGGCCTCAGTGTTGGGCCTTCTCCCTCTTTGGCTCCTCCTGTACTTTTTGAGGAGCCCAGCTACCCCTCTTCTCCAGCTGGGCTCTGCAGTTCCCCTCTGCTGCTCTCCCCCCTCCCTGTCCTTTCCCTCCAGTATCTCCTCAGCTCCAGGTGGCTCTGAGGTGCACATCCCTACCGCCCCCGCCAGCTCAATTGACTGGAAGGGGAATGGACACACAAGAAGAAGGGCACCCTAGTTCTACTTCTGGCAGCTCAAGCAGCGACTGCCTCCTCCTCTTTTAGCTCTGGGAGTGAGGGTCCTGTGTGGTGGCACAGTCCCCCTTGAGTGGGGATCACTGTATGTTAGGAGTATGTGATGGGGGAGTGGATCTTTCTAGGAGGGAGACGCCAGCCCCTCAAATCATCCGGCAACCTTTCCTGTCCATGCCATCCCTTTCCAGTTCATTGCACTTTGAGTAGCAGCTGAACAAGGAGTCAGGCTTTTTTTTTTTTTTGAGAGAGTCTCACACTGCCTGGGCTGGGCTGGAGTGCAGTGGTGCAATCTCAGCTCATTGCAACCTCTGCCTCCTGAGTTCAAGTTATTCTTCTGCCTCAGCCTCCTGAGCAGCTGAAATGAACTAATTTTTGGTATTTTTAGTGGAGATGGGATTTCACTATGTCGTCCAGGATAGTTTCAAACTCCTGGCCTTGTAATCTGCCCACCTCGGCCTCCCAAAGTGCTGGAATTACAGGTGTGTGTGCACACCCACCTGTGGTCAGGCATTTTAAGAAGGGGGCAGTAGAGGTTTTGACAGGGCATGCCATGTCGGCTCATGTGTGATGGGTGTGACCCCAAACACCTTCCAGTTCTTGTAACATCCTGGCCTTGACTGTTTTCTCTCGGGCTCCCCAGTTTAGGTGGTTCTTCTGTGTCTCCACCTAAAATGTAAACCTCTCGAGGTCAGGGACCAAACCCTGTACTGTTCCGTGCTGTTCACAGCTCCTCCTACATGCTGAATGTACAACAGGTGCTCAATAAATGATTCTTGGCAATCTTACTTGTAATATTACTATTGTGGTCATTATACCTTGTTATCAGAACAAATAAATGGACTTTTGGGAAGGTTTCATGATTTAAAATATTAAGCATTTAAAATTAGAAAATGCAGAAAACTTAGCAAACAGGAAGACTGTGCTTCAGAAAACAACAACAAAGCGAACACTACCGTCACACCTCCACAAAGATCACCACTGCCAATATTTTGGTTTGTTTAATCTTTTTTTTTTTTGAGATGGAGTTTCGCTCTTGTTACCCAGGCTGGAGTGCAATGGCGTGATCTCGGCTCACCGCAACCTCCGCCTCCTGGGTTCAGGCAATTCTCCTGCCTCAGCCTCCTGAGTAGCCAGGTTACAGGCATGTGCCGCCATGCCCAGCTAATTTTTTGTATTTTTAGTAGAGACGGGGTTTCACTGTGTTGACCAGGATGGTCTCGATCTCTTGACCTTGTGATCCACCTGCCTCGGCCTCCCAAAGTCCTGGGATTACAGGTGTGAGCCACCGCGCCCGGCCGGTTTGTTTAATCTTTTTGTAAAGAATATAGCTTAACATCATTAGTTATCAGAAAAATGCAAATTGCGATACCATAATAAGATACCACTGTACACCTACCAGAATTACTACAATTAAAAAGACTGATAATGCCAAGTGTTGGCAAGGCTATGGAGGAATTGGAGCTCTTATTTAAAAAACTGTTTGAGCTGGGTGCAGTGGTTCACACCTATAATCCCAGCGCTTTGGGAGGCTGAGGCAGGCAGATCGATTGGGGTCAAGAGTTCAATACCAGCCTGGTGAACACAGTGAAAGCTGTCTCTACTAAAAACACAAAAATTAGCTGGGTATGGTGGTGTACGCTTGTAATCCCACCTACTTGGGAGGCTGAGGTGGGAGGATCGCTTGAACCCAGGAGGCAGAGGTTGCAGTGAGCTGATACCGCACCACTGCACACCATCCTCTTCCAGGGCAAAAGAGTGACCAGTGGGACAATTTTAGAGACTTCTACTTGGTCTTTCTTTCTATAATGGCTCTTATTGCATAGATGAGTGAGAATGTGGAAGAATGTGAGAGTTCTGCCATCTGCAAAGTTATGCATCCCAATTTGCACTCAGGGGCTAGGAAATCACCACAGAGCACATCCACAGACTCACTGGGAGATGAACTTGGCTAGAACTCTATTTATCACCTGGCCTTCTATGTCCCCCCTCTCCAGAAGGAGGCTATAATGGTATTTTGGGTCACCTGGAAGCAGTGAAAGCTGAGACCCTGTATCTAACAGACCTCAAATGATCTGGTTATTTCCTGTTCCACACTGTACAGCTATTCTGGTAAATAGCCAAGGTCACTTTAGGGAAGAATCAAGAAAACATTTATTTTAGATGTTTATAGTGGCATTATGGATCTTCCATCAGTGCGTCCTGGGTCAGAACTGGCTCAGATCTGGAAACTAGGTAAGAGATTGTGATTTTCTATTTCAGCAGCTGACATCAGCCTCTGCTCACTCACCCTTGATCCTGTGGTTGAGTCAAGCAAGACTCTCATTGAATGTTCCCTGTCTTGCCCTAGGGACACCACTACTGCAGAGCCCTGAGGTCAGGGACCCCTTGGTTACCATTCAGGCCTTGCTGCCTGTCATTGTAATCGTGTCCACCTTGCCTCTGATGATTAAGTGACCCTATGTGGTCTCTGCTCTTCCACTTAATGTCTCCATTGACAGTGGCCATGGTATTCCATGGCAGTGTCTCCTCTATCAACCTGGACTATAGAGGACAGCAGCACTGAGCTCCTTTCACTAGAGACTTGTTTTTTTTTCTTTTTGAGGTGGAGTTTCACTCTTGTTGCCCAGGCTGGAGTGGAGTGGCGCGATCTCGGCTCACTGCAACCTCTACCTCCCAGGTTCAAGTGATTCTCCTGCCTCAGCCTCCTGAGTAGCTGGGATTACAGGCGCCTACCACCATGCCCCACTAATTTTTTTTTTTAATTTTTAGTAGACACAGAGTTTCACCATGTTGGCCATGCTGGTCTCAAACTTCTGACCTCAGGTGATCCACCTACTTTGGCCTCCCAAAGTGCTGGGATTACAGGCATGAGCCACAGCACCCAGTGGGACTTCTTTATTGCTTTGCAAAGGGAAGGCCTTCTGGGCCCTCCTCTCTGAGCCTTCTGATCCCTCATTAATACTCATCCAAGGCTGTTTCAGCATTGCCACCTCACTACTGTAAGCCATCACTGGGTCTAAACCTTAAGGACGAATTCAGCAGTGTGTTAAGACCAGTTCCAGTGGTCTCACCCGGATGTTAAATTCCGTGTCCAAAGAGAGGACCTCCATAGAACCCTCTTTATCTACCTTTGTATTCCTCAGCTCCCCCAAGCCCCAGCCCACATCCTCAAGATCTCTTCCTATATGTGTTTTCCTGTTCCTACTAATACGTATCAGCCAGACCTGTAGCTTTTTTGGTAAATAAGCTATTTCCTCCAGCAACGGGGGCTATATACTTACTTGCTTGGGCAATGCTAAAACCTGACCCCTATTACTAGTCTAGAGCAGGGGTAGGCAAACCACAGTTCCATAGTTTCTGTATATAAAGCTTTCTTGGAATGCACATACACCTATTTGTTTCCCTATTATCCATGGTTGTTTTTGCACTGTCGTTTTAAGTGCAAAAGTAGAATTGAATAGCTGCAACAGAGACATGGCCTGCAAATCTAAAATATTTACTCTATTGCCCTTTAAGAAACTGTTTTTTGACCCTGGTCTAGAGGCAGTGAGGGAAGGAGTGATGGATCTTGAGGAAGATAAGCATCATCTTGTGAGGCATCCACCTCAGGTGCATTCTTAGTGTGGTCTTCAGGTCACGAGAGAATTCTCTAGTAAAAGAAGGGGCACTTCTGCAGGCCTAGAAGGCTCAGAGAAGCTGAGGGTGCAAGTTTCTCAAGTGCATCTGCCAGAATGTCCCATTCTTTCCCTATCAGAATTCTGACCCTAGGATAGTAGGTCTGCTGAGGCTGTGCCTTTAGTCTCTCTTGAAGCTTCACCACTCTTACAATCAGATCCCGGGCCTGATTTTCAGCACAGCCTGCACTTGGGCCATGAGAGATAGGGTCATTTCCAGTGCTGTTATGCAGTTCTCCTGTCTTCACGACGTACCCTGAGTTCTCTTTCTTCAAGGCTTCTAGGGAAAGCCAACCAACCCCACAATCCTTATTATTACTATTGCCCTGTATCTTTCAAGTGTTAGACTTAGGCAAAAGTCAATGTTGCCCCTGGAATTTCACCTGTACCTCATCCCAATCCACTGCACACATTGTGGACACACTTTGTGATGCTGTAGTCTGCCAGGGGTTATCACCACCTCAGTCACTAGCAGCATTTGGGTCTGCTTGTCACTTCCCTGGTGAGGGATCTGTTTTCAGAAGCCCATCCTGCTTCTGCCATTTCTGGTAACTGTCCTAGTCACTCCTCCACCCCCATCCCCCAAACAACTTGAGACAACGACTTGTGTGCAGGTGGATTACCTGGGAGGTAGTCCCTGGAAGCACAGCAGGAAAGCGGAGAATGTGAGAAAGACAAGGAGAAGGCCAATGAAGGTGTCGGTGAGCAAGCTCCACTGTGTGCAACTAGGGCTGAAATCTGCTAGGGAGCCTCGAGGAGACCATGTGGAATGTGCCCTACAATTGTCCCTCTAGAGTACTTACCTGGATACCTGGGCTACTTACCTACTGACACTGTCCGTCACTGACAGGGCTGCCTCTAGGGCCTAGTCCAGATTGCTCCTCACAGGGTGGAACAAATTCCTGTGGTGCTGAAGAAAACCAGAGGGACGAAGGCATTTGAGGTGGGAAATTACTAGCCTGCCAGGAACGATCTACCAAAGCTTTAGGTGAACACAGATATGGGCCAGATAGTGCCTGGGTTCACGCCCCCAGGAAGTGGTGAGGGGCCAGCATGTCCACGCTGATGACTCCAGATTACACTGCCTGCCCAATACACCAGAAAGGGGAAGTGCCTCACCCAGGGCCACTACCGCCGTGACAATTCTAAGAGGAGGCTTGCAGGGATCCATCTCTTTCTGTGCCCCTCCTTGGTCTTTGATGTAACTTAGGTTTTCTCAATCTTACATAAAGTGCTACCCAAATAAGGCTCTGAAGCAAGCTCCCTGGGCCTGGCTTTCTGTGGGATTGCCCATCTGCCTAAGCAACTTGAGAAATTTTGGAGCCAGTAGCTGGAGGGAGGGAGGCTCAGGTCCTAGGACGAGCCTCAGCTCTCCCTGCAGGGCCCCAGAATGGAGAGTATCTTGCTTCAGGACTGGACAAACTGTGAAGTGCTTTCAAGCATGGGTAGGGAATTAAATATTAGTGTGAAAACTGCCCTAATTGTAAAACAGTTTCACTGCCCGCGATCCTTGCCCATTGATTCTATTTTTGTCAAACCTAGCTCTGAGCACAGTGTTTTTCAGTTCAGCAACACCGTATTTTTCAGTCAGCCCCATCATTTCTAAAAGTGCCTGGGTCTAATCTTTTACCTAGCACTTGGTATGTCCTGGCAGGTTTCTTCCCCGGGGCTGGTGCCAAGGCCAAGGCCAAGCTGAGCTCTCACCACCTGCAGGACTCCATGGCACTCTGGCTCCACCCAAGAGGGTGTGACCACTCCTGCCTTCTCCTTGTCCCTTTTATTTCCATGGTGGGGAGCAGGGCGGTGAGGGTAGGGGGGCAAATAAACTGAGGACGCCTTGAGATCCTGAGGGCTGGGTTTTAAAAATCCAACCTCACCCTGTTCTCAGAGGAATGGAGAGAGCCCTTTGCTGGAAAGAAGGTCCTGGATTTGTTGCATTTGCCCAGATCCAGCAGCAAGCCCTGTTGGCCCTATTTTCAGTCCATGTCCCGAGTCCAGCCACCTTATCACCTCCACCGCCGCCCTCCGTGGCCAAGCCACTGCCTCTCGTCTGGATTACACTAACAGCCTCCTCATGTCTCTTCTCCAGAATGAAGGCACCAGGGGACATC